TAGCTGACATATACCCTAGAAGCTAATTATTTCTCTGTCATTATTATTTCATAAGTTTAAGTATAGAAAAATGATCTGATTTGTTCCTACGTTTTACAAGAATTATCCTGCCCTTTGGGTGATACTCAGATGCTAACCTAGTGATTTGTGCCACGTGGATTCATACTTCCATTACCAGATCACAGACAGAGGTATACACTGTTGATTTCATTCACAAATAGTAAAAGGAATTATTTCCTACCTTACATCAATACCGTGTGCTTGGAGGATGGCACCAGGAAAATGATACATGCAATGTTAGTTTTAAACTTGAAGCTTTCACATTATTCCCTTTGGACAAGTGACTCGCTAGACCCCCCAGTGTGGGAGGTAGGGCAGTTCCCACAAGTAACTGCCTTCAGCTGTCACGAAATGGATTCAATTATAATTCCCAACAGATATTAAAGGCCAGATGATTACTCCAAAGCACTGACTAGGGGACTTACATACAGAGTGCTGTAGTGATCCTTACAGGGACAGAAAGAAAAGAGATATTCTATCTAGGTATGTCTGTAAGGAGGAGGTCAGGTTATAGAGTTTATATGAGAATTTAAGTAATTTGGCTCAGGGTTGTATCTAGTTTCTATGTTTAGCAACATGTTTGAGTTTTGGTGCTTTGAGTAACAACCTCAACTTTATTAGTGACAGGAAATGTTGAAGGTACCAGTTTGGGTTGAAGCCTTCAAGGGAAGACATACAGGGCTGGGTGACAGAGTCGTCAAGGCACTGCTTTTATCCCATCAGGACAAAGAAAAAAGTGGGATAAACTGGGAGAAAGGGCTTAGAATCATTCTGAGAATGGCTCAGAAAATGTGTGTGTATTAATTCAGATGTAATTATAACACTGAAAATCACTTATGCAACCATAATTCTGAATCATCTAGAGCCCAAGAAAATGTCATTGGTTGGTAGAACAATGCCTCACCATGGATTCTTGATGGACCCAGACACCATTTCAAATAAAAAGCCCAAGTGCTTAGGGTGTTTCTGCATCATTATTGTCTCCTACTTTAGAACACATTACTGCTTTTGTTTTGCCCCTGTAAATTGATTAAATTGGTCAAGAGTATACCTTAGGCTTTGAAATTTTTTTTGCTGGTACTGGGGTTTAAACTCAGGGCCCTCTGTTTGCTAGGCAAGCACCCTACCACTTGAGCCACACCTCCAGCCCTTTTAGATTTAGCTATTTTTCTTATAGGGTCTCATGCTTTTTGCCTGGGCTGACCTCAGACTGCAATCTTTTACCTACACTTTCTTTGTAGCATGTGCCACCCCACTCAGCTTGTTTTTTGAGATAGGGGCTTGCTAACTTTTTATACCAAAGCTAGCCTCAAACTGTGATCCTTCTATCACCACCTCCCAAAGTGTAGCCCAGCCTTGTCTTGAACTCAAGATCCTCCTGCTTTATATTTTTCACCTCACTTGGTGGCATTTACCACCAAGGTGGGCTTAGACTTTTTGAAGATTCCCAGATGATTCTAAAGTACATACAAAGTTTGAATACAGTGACCACCTAGTGCATTTTGCTACAAAGGTGTGAATTAAGGTAGTATGGATGCTTATCTTATCATATTCCATCTTAAGATAATGAAACAAATGTGAGAAGTTTGAATGACTATTAATTTTTGACTGCTATATCCATTTTATTTTTGTGATCATTATAATAAGGTTTAAAAGCTTATTATATATTGAAAATAGCATTCAATCTTAGACAATTTTTCTTCTGTCTTTTGAACAACAGTTTGAGTATTTCCAACTAAAAGACCATTCTAATTAATAGAACTTTCTGTAATTTTTTGTTTGAGGAGCAATGCTAAGGAATTAAAACAGGCAAAAATAGGTAAATTTATTAAGCCTTTATGATGCTAAGAGCATTTTTCCCTTCTGGACTTAGTTGGGACTGTTCTCCAAAACAAAAGTTATATAAAATTCATAGGGGAGTTTTGAGACATGAAACAGATTTAATTATAAATTGGATTTAACTCATCATTAATACTGATTTGATGTGGTTGGAAGTGGCTATCTTTTATAACTTGATTTGATTTTATTTTTACTCTCAGGCCTATTCTGGATTATGCAGAGGAAAAAAATCCTTAAGTTTTGTGCAGTTGAATCTGTGACTATATTTACTTGCCACCCAAGGAAATGCCTAGAGGTATTTGACTTTTTATTATCACAAGGGCATCACCCTTGTTAAAAAACTTCAGATCTACATGTGTGTATGCTGGACTACCAAGGGGAGCAAAAGAAAGATGGCTCTGTTGGTTTGACCCTCTATAGAGAAGCAAACAAGAGCAGGAATTTTCTAGAGCTGAGGTCAGTATACCCATGAGTGAATCTTGATTAGACATTGTTTTACAGGAATTTGTTCCAGTTTCTCATCTTGTTTTATAACCTTTTCTATTCTTGAGGTCTTTCAGAACACAATACAGATTAAGAAGCAAGTTACTTTTTCATACGTGCCCGGCCCGAAGCAAGCATTTTACAATAAGCATCGTTACAACGGGCCCATGATGATTATCATAACTTCAATTTTGAAGAAGGAGAAACTAAGGCTTAGATCCTATAACATGTCCAAAGTCTGACAGCTAATGTTCCAGTTCCAGCTCTGCTCTTTATGATTCCAGAGCCCAATTTCTTAAACATCTCTGTTACATGGCCCTTCACAAATATCTACAAGCATGCCTCCTTCCTCAACTGTCTTGCCAGTCAGGCTCAAAAGGGCCTAGTGATAGTGTCTTTTATGCTCACTCGGAGTATTGGTTATGGAGAAGGAACAGATATAGTTGTGAGTGGGAGAAACAGCCATTGGTTTTGAATAATATAGTCACTTATTTTGTCCATACTGTATTTTTCAGATCCTATTTCATCTTGTTGAAATAAACCCTTTAACACAAAAGAGTCCAGCCATGACTACAGATGACAATAGGGTAGAAGCTGTGGTACGACTGTGCTCACACCCTGAGTCTTACATGCTTGGGTATTGTCATGGATGATTGTCTCTGGATAGAGTAGGAGTATACATAATTTCTCATCTCCATATTTTTCCTTTTTATTCCCAATCATTCAATGTCAAATGAAGATGAAGATTCTAGAGATGTTTGGTCTTTGGTTTTGGCTCATGGAAGACTCATAAGATCATCTAGGGAGAAATGCCTAGCTGTGGGTTTCTGAAGTTATTTGCCAGGAATTTCTTAGAAGGAATCCTACTGGATTTAACTAAGGCCATATTTTAGAAGTCAAGAATCTCTGTATTTATTGTTTACTTTACAGACTTTAGGTATTGTGGCAAATGGCTGTGTCAAAAGTTCCTTGTAATTTCCTTCAGAATCAGTGTCACCAATGAATTGAATGTCACCTTCCTTCATCTTCTCTTGTGCCTGTGCCTATAGTCAGATAACTCTGTGAAATAAATTTATACCTTTGAAGATTCTGTAATATCTTTTTTTTGAACACAAGTAAAAAGTCACTGGATATTGTATTTGGCACTATAATTATGTTTGTAGAAGCCCTCCCTCTCTTTTCCTAATAATGGGTCTCAACTTTGGCACTGGACTCCTGGGACATTGATTAGAAGATGGGTGAACAATCAACTTTCACCTCTAAAACAACAGAGAAGGATCAATTTAAAAAAATGTGATCCGACCAATCTTAGTGTTAGGCATAGATTGAGGAAATAGAAATTTGAGACTATTTAGGGACATTAGAAAAGAACTTGTGATATTCCAAGTTTCTCACTTTTTGATGATATGAGGTTTGTATCAGTGGCCTCCTTAGATTATATTTTCTTAAATACTGAAGTGATTTATTTTTAACCTAAGACCAACCACTTTAGCTTTTTAAGATGTTGTTATGGATTTTAAACTTGAGGCAGTTAAATGACTTAAAGTCTGAAATGTTTTAGAACAAAAATGGACATAATCCTAGTCTGGAGCACTAGAATTAGCAGTGATTTCTTTCTTCCACTTTTTATGTATCACCACAAAATTTATGTAAGTTTCTGGCCTGAAGTAGTCTTCTTATTATGGAATCTTTATGATCAATAAGTAATATAATAAAAGGGTCAATTCAAAATAGAAAGTAGCAAGAAGAATTCTCCAAGGAGACCTGGAGTAATTTAAAGGTTTATATCTACCACTAGCCCTCCATTATTCTTGTTACCTTTGACCCATCGCTTATCCAATTCCTTTTGGGCCAATCCCACTGTTAGCTTCTTTCCTTTCATGTCATTATTTCAGTGAAGCTGCTGTTCTTCCTATATGCCAACTCAGAGCCTCTGAAGTGGAATCTCCTCCCTGCTCACAGTTAACATTATTACTAGGAAATGTGATATATTTCAGACCCATTTTGTCTGTTTATGTGGGGGAGTGACTTGGTTTGAGGACTTTAACTTTTATGAGCAGTAAGGTCTCATTCAAAGTTCTATTAAATTAAGGTTTCTCATATTCACATTGCCTCCGTCCTCAATAAATGTCCTTTTATGAGGCAAGCCAAGAAGATTGGAAAAATTTGCCAACAGAGTAAAAGTCTGGAGAATTTCAACAGAACTTGTAAACTATTTTCAAGACGGTATCAGAGTAGAATTCTACCTTGTAGAAATTGTGCTTTGTAACACTCCTTATAGGGAAACTAGAAATCTTATACCAAAGAGGTGAAGGGAAGACATGATCTTATTTCTTGTGGTCTGTATGCCTATGGTTATTATGCTTGATTTTACGAAGTTAGTTAGGTAAGAAAAGGAATGGTAGAACAAGAACTTTTGACATGACTTCCTCTTTCCACTTCGAGATATTAGGTCTACACTGCTAGAAAATCCATGATCAAAAAGAATAGACATTGGGATTGCTTTTAGGCCTTTGTCCTCACAGTTAAGTTGGTAGCCAGAAATTTCATGGGCTTTTTCAAGAAGAACTTCTTCTTATCATCACCAAATATTTGTATGCCCCATAGATGTAGGACAGTCAGCTGGGTTGAGTCCCTACTTTAAGAATGTGTAGAAGTCTCTCTCGAATCTGCTTGGTGCGGACAGCATAGACAACTGGGTTAAGAATAGGTGGAATGAGGAGGTAAAAGTTAGCCAAAAGAATATGGATATGGGGAGGAACATGATGGCCAAAGCGATGGGTAAGAGATGAAACAACAATAGGGATATAGAAGACGAGGATGGCACAGATGTGAGAACCACATGTACCTAAAGTTTTAAACCTGGCGTCAAGGGTGGTCAATCCCAATACAACCCTGAAAATCATTACATAGGAAGCAGTTATGGCTAGAGAATCCAGGATTAATACCAGGAAGCCAATTGCCATTCCATATAAGTTGTTGACCCTTGTATCACTGCATGCTAAATTGACCACAGCCATGTGCTCACAGTAAGAGTGGGTAATGACTTTGGTCTGGTAAAGGGGCACCCTCAAACGAATTAGTAGGGGAAGAGGTCCAATGTAGAGTATCCCCCGGAGGAGGGCAGCCAGCCCCAAACGACCCACCACTACATGGGTGAGCACTGAGGTATGGTGTAGTGGGTCACAGATAGCAACATAGCGGTCAAAAGCCATCGCAAGGAAGATGCCTGACTCAACAGTGGCAAAGCAGTGGATGAAGAACATCTGGACCAAGCAGGCATTCAGACCAATGTTGTGGGCACCAAACCAGAAGATGGCCAACAATTTGGGCATGGTAGAGGTTGACAGGACTAAGTCAATGACAGCCAACATGCACAGGAAGAAATACATGGGTTGGTGCAGGCTGCGCTCCATCTTTACTACTGCCAGGATGGTGACATTCCCAACCAAAGCCACCAGGTACATGGAGCCAAAGGGTATGGAGAGCCAGATGTGCAGGGACTCCAGCCTTGGGATGCCAGTGAGCCAGAAAGAGGTAGGAACAAAGCAGGCATTATTAGAAGTAAACATGTTTGGGGTTGTGGGGTTTCCAGAGGAGAGGAAGTTTCTTCTCCTTTGAGAGATGTTGATTATATTCTCATTTCCATCCTGGGCAACTGGTGGCATCTATGAGAAAGAAGAATTCTAAATGCCAACTTGAAAAATCAATATATTACATATTTTATCAGAAATATCCATGATGACATCTGTTAAATGTACTAACAGACATGCTCATCGTTTCTACTGCTTAATCATCCCACTTTACTGTAGAAATCTCCAAAATTATGCAATATAATTTTATTTTTGTGAACTTTTTCTAAAGGAAATGGAAAATGTAAATCCATGTAATGTGTTTATTTCAGTGCCTGTATATATTTCTCTTATCATTGATAAATAGAAACACTGATATAAATAATATAGCAATTAGGTGTTTTTTATGCTAATGAAAAGTTGTAGCCATGTATTCAAAAATAAAACATTGCTTAAGTTCTACTATATCTATTCAGTTAGTTTGAGTTATATTAATAACACTTTTAGAGACATATATTTCCTGGTATAATGTTTGCATATTACAATAAGTGATAGAATAGCAGGAGGAAGGTTAAACTATGATTTAATTTCATTAAAATGTGGATGAAATATAAAAACATACTGTTACGTAGAGAAGTATGTGAGAAGATGTATTAAAAGGATGTTATCTTTTAGTGCCAGTGGGTGATTTTTTATTTTGGATGGATGAGATTATGGGTGATTTTAATTTTCTTCCTTTTATATATATGTATGTTATGCCTTTCAAAATAAGTTGATAAATGAAGGGGGAGAATTTTACTAGAAAAATGTATTAGTGTCATAGAATAACAAAGATTTGGCACAGGACCTAATTTCTCAAGAAAACTCTCTCATTTAAGGTTTCCAGATTTCGTGATTAAATGGAATGAAGAATGAATACAATTTCTTAAGAATACTTTACTCCAGGGACAGACTGTTATGTTTTCCTGGCAAGAATCTAGGCATCAGTTATAATTTGACATAAGAGGTACATCTTTTTTGATCAAATTTTATTAGACTTTCCCACCATCTAATAGCTAAAATTAAAAAAGAATGGACTGAAATAAAATGGTCTGGATACTCTTTTTACCATCCTTCTTTGTCTCTGTTTTTTTGAGGAGACAGGGAGGTCAGCAAAGCACTGACTATTGCTTTTAAAAGTCTTTTGTGCTTTTTTTCCCTTTGGATGCCTTTGCTTAAAAAAATCCTATTGCTTCACATTCTCAGAGTTTAGAGTCTGAGAGCACAGGATCTGGTTTCTTCCTCTCCCTGTCTCAGGCAGGTTTGTTCCCCTTTCTCATCAGAATCCCAGAAGTCTACTGACACCCTATGTGTGCTTGGTGACTTTCTTCACAGCCATGTTTTGGCTGAGAGGTTTCACCATCTCCTTGGTTTTTAGCTAAGGGACCTTCTCCATCTTCCAAAGCCCATTCCAGACTACTCCTTCTTCTGCAAAACACTCTGTGTGTCTCTAGCTTGTACTAGAGTAAGAGGGAAAAGGAGAAGGACTATAGTCACTTAATTCCCCTAAATTGTTTCAAGTAAGTTTATGATAATTTCAAATTTTGTCTAAAATAGAATAGCCATTACATTTCCCTAGCAAATAAACAAGAAAAGTCCCTGTGTAGATTCTTGGTCCATAATTCAGGTTTCTATACACAAGTTATTTAGGATTTTGAGTTTGTTTCTTTATTTGTCAAGCACTGTGTGGGTGCTGAGAAGAAACACACAAGTTTTGTGAAACTTAAAATAGTTCACAATTTTTTAAACATTAAATTTGTGATTTGGGTATTTACATATGTAAATAAGTGCTAACACATGTGAAGTTACTTCCTCTCCAAATGTAAGATTGCTCTGGATCTATCAGTTAAGATAGGAAAGGGGAGGAGGATGTGGGAAGAGGTATTATCCAGCTGCTCAGGTTTCCTAATCCAGATCTTCATCCTACTGTTTAAGCAAGTTGCTTAAGCTCTTGAAATCTCCTTTCCCATTTGAAAAATAGGGAGACTATTTACGGCAGAAGATAAGTACACAGAACAAATAAGGCAAGGGTAAAACTCTTGCCTTTCCCTGAAATTCCCACTGCTCATTGGGTATTAGATTAGAAATGCAAATTCCAAAAATTGGAATAATTTCCTTATGTTTCTGTTGTATGTTATATCTAAGAATGTGTCTCAAAAGTGCAGGAATTGATTATATGGGACAGGGATTGAAGGTGGACACTAGTCAATTTTAAAACATAACGGAGAAAGTCTGAAATATTCTCTGAAAGTACTACGATAGATTAGCATCCTATGGCAGGAAGGAGTCCAATGGACTCCATATCAGAGTAGGCAAAAGTAGGGGCTATTCATCATAGAAGAGTCAGTGTTTATGAATGGCCTTAAACTTAAGTGGTCTTCTGAACTAGGCTATGCCACCTAAATTGTATCCCTTTATCTAGAGCATTCCAGAGAAATATTTTCTGTCATCACAATGAAAGAATTCTTGCTTGGATGCTAGAGACATGCTTACCAGTCTAGCAGAGGCGTTCTGCCCATTTGGAGCTTCTGGAAGAGACATTTTGTTATGGTGGCATAAACATGGATTAGAAACAAGACCGATTGGTTCAAACACTAACTCTACTGTTTCTGATTCTGTAACTTTATGCAATGTAATTTCTCTCTCTCTCTCTCTCTCTCTCTCTCTCTCCAAACAAGCCTTCTACCTTGGGGTTTCTTTTTTTTCTTTTACTTAATCCAGGATTTATACTCAATTTATTTCTTCTACTTTTGAGTAGACCTATGAAGAAGAGAAGCCCTGAATAGACCAAAGACAAAAATAGTTTCTGGAACTTGGAGACTACTTCTAATGGCTCTATTCTCATCCCATAAATCCCGAATATGCTTACCCATTGGGATACTATCCAGAGCTCTAGACTCTGCTTCTTACATGGTAGGTTCTTGTCTCAATGCATGGAGAAATTTCACTGACGGGGGAGGCCTTTCCCTTGATATCTTTCTTCTGTCTCCTTTATCTAGGTCTTGAAAATATCCAGTTACTTCCTAAGAGTTGTATAGAAAAGCTTATACACTTCCCTCTGAGCTTTTAGTTACTCTCTTAGGAGCAGTTTTCAGTCCTTAACTCACTCCGCCTGTAAGGACCAGAGCACAGTCTTTTATTCTTATCCTTTTGCTTGTCTCTTAGCTGGCTCCAGATTTCTGACTACTCTCCCTTGGGCTTAAGGCACTCACAGACTCTAAGAGGCATATTTAGAGAATTAAGAGAAAAAGCGGGGGGGGGGGGGGCGGGCCCTCAGGTACTGGTGTAACAAATATTGACTGTTTTTAGTTAATCATTACTTCTGTTAAAAAGAAAAAATACAAAATCTAGTCTATACAAAGAAGAAAATAAATATAAATGTTAACATTGCAATTTTATTTTACTTCTCCTTTTTCAGCTCATTTTTATTTAAAATGAATAACTCTAAATAATTACAAGTTGAAATAGTTCTGTGTAGTTACTTTACTTAAAGTTCTCAGAATAGTGGGAAGGCTAGTATCAGTTTTACCACTGTACCAAAGTGGCCCAGACATATTTGTCAATATTTTTTTGTCCTTTTTTATTTTAAAAATTGTTTATACATTTATTCATATGTGAATACATTGTTTGGGTCACCTTTCTCCCTTGTCCCCTGCCCTCTCCTCCCCAACCCACTTGCTTCTAGGCAGAACCTGTTCTGCCTTCTTCTCCAATTTTGTTGAAGAGAAAACATAAGAGGTCATAAGAAAGACATAGCATTTTTGCTAGCTTGAGATAAAGATAGCTATATAGAGAGATTCCTAGCATTGCTTCCATGCACATTTGTATTACAACCTGAATTGGCTCATTTCTACGAGATCTCTTCACTACTTCATGGTCACCTTCCTGTAGTAGCCTCTGCCAGTTTAAGATTATTTAATTAGCTCCTCTACAGCTGGCACATAAAACACTTTCAAGTTTTAGGTTAACCAAAAAGTTGGTCCTTTGAAAAAATAAACAAGATCGACAGACCCCTGGCAAACCTGACTAAAATGAGGAGAGAAAAAACCCAAATTAGTAGAATCAGGAATGTAAAAGGGGAGATAACAACAAGTACCATGGAAGTCCAGGAAATCATCAGACTACTTTGAGAACCTATATTCAAATAAATTAGAAAATCTTAAAGAAATGGACAGATTTCTAGATACATATGATCATCCAAAACTGAAGCAAGAGGAAATTAATCACCTAAATAGATCTATAACACAAAATGAAATTGAAGCAGCAATCAAGAGTCTCCCCAAAAAGAAAAGTCCAGGACCTGAAGGATTCTCTGCTGAATTCTATCAGACCTTTAAAGAACTGATACCAACCCTCCTTAAACTATTCCATGAAATAGAAAGGGAAGGAAAACTGCCTAACACATTTTATAAAGGCAGTATTACACTTATCCCAAAACCAGGCAAAGATACCTCCAAGAAGGAGAACTATAGGCCAATCTCCTTAATGAACATTGATGCAAAAATCCTTAACAAAATAATGGCAAACCGAATTCAACAACACATCAAAAAGATCATTCACCACGACCAAGTAGACTTCATCCCAGGAATGCAGGGGTGGTTCAACAAACAGAAATCAATAAACATAATAAACCACATTAACAGAAGCAAAGAAAAAAAAACCACTTGATCATCTCAATAGATGCAGAAAAAGCCTTTGATAAGATCCAACACCATTTCATGATAAAAGCTCTAAGAAAACTAGGAATACAAGGAAAGTACCTCAACATTATGAAAGCTATATATGACAGAGCTACAGCCAGCATTATACTTACTGGAGAAAAACTGAAACCATTCCCTCTAAAATCAGGAACCAGACAAGGATGCCCACTATTTCCACTCCTATTCAACATAGTACTGGAATTCCTAGCCAGAGCAATTAGGCAAGAAGAAGGAATAAAAGGAATACAAATAGGTAAAGAAACTGTGAAA